CTCCCTGCCTCGCCCGGCCGTGGGTGTCTGTGGGGCCGGCCAAGAACGCGGACGGAGAGGGCCTGGAGACCTGAGGAGACCCCCTCGGCCCTCCCGTCGCCGGGCCTGCCCGTCTGCCTGTCGCCCGCCCCACCCGGGACCGCACCCCTGCTTTATGGCTACAGCTTTATGGCAGGAGTTGGGGAGGGGGGGGGCTGTAAAAGTGAGAATTCTTGGAATTTCACACTCCCTCTCTGAAGATGCGCCCTGGTCTGGAGTTGCTGAGCAGTGGGAAGAGGCTTCAGTCCCGACGCTTTCTGTGCACAACTCTCCCCCCCCCACCCCACCCCACCCGGCTGTTTTAGGCCTCTGATCCTGAAGGGGTGGAGGGGAGGAGGAAGGGAGGGAAGCCCTCTTTATACTGCTTTCAACTTTAAATATTGTCTTTCAGTGTTGCCTTGGGTCCTTTTCACAAAGAATAAACATACAGTATTTAAATACAATGGATCAATAGAGTTGCTGGGGGGAGGGGCTTCTCCCATTGACCCCTCAGGGGTCCCGCTCACCCTTTGGCCGGCCCAAGGCCATTGCCTGGGTGGCAAGGTGGCCCCCTGGCTTCAGGAACACCCTTGTGGGCTTACCCTTTAAGAAAACGAACAAAAGCTTTTGTCCGTGTTCTTTTCTGTGGTGTGGATTCCCCAGGTTCGCCCGCTCTGTCCTTGGCATTAATTAAGGGTTGCTCTCCAAAGGCGTTTTGGTCAGAATGGGGCACAGCCTGCCCTGAGCCGGCAGCTGCCTCTCGGGCAATAGCTGGTAGCTGGTGTGGGATGACCTTTGGCCAGTTTTCAATGAACCAGGGAGCCCTTTGGGGCAGGCCAAGGGCAAAACTGGGCGTCAGGAGTTGATGCTGAGCACGGAATGGTGACCACTGAAAGCCACGTTGGATCTGGCTGTGCTTTGGCTGAGATGAATGTGCTCCGTCTCGTTGGCTGTCCAGGGAAGCAGCCCCTCCGGAGGCTGCAGCTGCTCCCTCTTGTCCCTGCGTGGTGGTCCTCGGTGTGGGAAAGGAAGACCTTCCTCCCCTGCCAATGCCCTTGCGACGCCCCTGGGCAGCTGCTCCCTGCCTCCGTCGTCCCCTTGAGCCACAGGCCAGGGTTGAGCCTCCGTGGCTAGAGTCCAAAGTTGTGACCGGCTGGCCACCTGCTCTCTTGCTTTGACAGACAGACAGACAGACAGACATGAGGAGGGGAGGGATGACAAGGGCCGGCCGGGAGACAAAGGAAGAGTGAGATAGGTGGCGGCAGAGCTGGGGGGGGTGGCGGCGGTGGGGGCGGCGAGCAGTCCTGGGCCCGGAAGGGGCTCCCAATGCAGAGGGCAGCTTCAAAGGCCTGGTTTTTCATTGGGACCAGATCTGCTTCTCTGCTTCCTTTGATTCTTTTTCACCCCATATGTCTGAAGAGGCGGGTTTCTCCACAAAAGCTCACATTAAAATATAAACATTTAGTCTTTGGGGTGCCATGCGGTTTTGTCTGTTACTTTTATTTTGCTTTATTTTTATATCATTTCATTTTTATGTTATTATTTCTTTTCCTTCAAGTTTCGCCTGATATCTTTAAGGAATCAGTGCAATAACATGAAAATGAAACTGGGGGCCAGTGAGTGAGCCTCTTTTGTGTATGTGTCCCCCCCCCTTGTTAAACGTGCAAGTCACATCCCTAGAATAAAAGAGCATGGATGACTTTGGCCTTGGTTCTCCAGAGATGCATCCTTACCCGGTAGGATCCTTTCTCGTTCCTCATGGCTGCCCTTCCACACCTCCAACTTCTTCTGACTTCTTGGCTGGATAGATGATTCAACCAAGGTATACAGAATTTCTGGCAGTTTCTGTTTCTTCATTGTCTAAATTAAAACTTAGGTAACTTCCGTACTCATGTTTTTCATCTTCTGAAAATTCAACCAATTTTCCATTTTCTTTGCCTTCCGCTAAAAGTTGTTTCAAGTCATTGCAGCTTTTCGCCAGTAAGATGGTGTCATCTTCATATCTTAAATTATTGATGTTTCTTCCCCCATCTTGATGTTTCACTCCTCCATCTGACTCATGTTCAGCTTTCCACATGGTACGTTGTGTGTACAGATGGAACAGATAAGAGGGGAAAAAACACACCCTTGCCTGACGCCTTTGTCTGTAGGAAACCATTCTGTCTCTCTGTGTTCTGTCCTAAGGGTAGCTTCCCACTGTTTATAAGCTTATAAGTGGGAACTTCCACAATAAAAGTTAGGCAGCAGGACAATCAGGTTCTGAGGCTCACCCATTCCTTTTAGCTTTGCATGGTCCACCCAGTCAAAGGCTAGGATTGCAACACCTTGAGAATCACTTTGTTTGCATGGGAAATTAGTCAAACAGTCCTATAATTATTGCACTACTTTGCATCTCTTCAATTATCCCAGATCGACTGAATATCAGGAAAAACTTCCTGTTAGAGTAGTACAGCAATGGAACCCCTCACCTCAAGAGGTGATGAGTGCTCCAACACTGGAGGCATTCAAGAGAAGTTTAGACAACCACCTGTCAGATATGTCTTGATTTGGATTCCTGCCTTGCACAGGGGGTTGGACTCAATGGCCTTATAAGCCTCTGTCAACATTTTTCTATGGGTCTATGATTCTGTCTTGGGATTGGAATGTATGTTACATGTTTCTGATCTATGGGCCATTGTTTTTAATATTGGTTAGTATATTCTTGTTAAGACTGTGACAGATTCAGTCTCTGGAGTTTATAATAGTTCCATTGATATCCCATCTACCCTGATTTATTTATTTTTTCTGAGTATTTTCAGAGCAGCTTTCACTTCACTTTCTAAAATTATAGGTTCCCTTTGTCACCTTTTAATTTTGTCTCTTGCCTGTCTTTAACAACTTTAAGTCTTTCTTCTGTCATCCATCTAGACCTTTCTTTTTGCTAAAGGAATAAGGTTCTTTCATGTGGACTTTAAATTGATCAGAAATGTTATTATATTTTGACACTGCTATTCTTTTGTATTCTTCAGCTTTGCTCTAATATCTGACACTAACAATTTGTAACCAGTACCACAGTCTGCTCTTCTTCTTGCTTTGGCTTCATTGTGTATTACTTTGAGTTATGTCATCCTTTTGATTTCATGGATGACTGCCTGCTGATGTCCACCCATAGAATCATTGGTTCAGTTTGTTTGTTTGTTTGTTTGTTTGTTTGTTTGTTTGTTTATTTATTAAATTTATACCCCGCCCCTCTAGACCATGTCTACTCAGTTGCCTGAAACACAAGTATATTTGTGCTTTCCTTTGTTCTTCCCCAGAGGTTGACTGAGTGCTTTCTGACTTGGGAGTCTCATCTTCCAGCACAATAGACAGATAGAACTCTAGAACAATGGAGTGGGAAGGGGCCTCCAAGGCCATTGAGTCCAATGCCTTGCTTAAGGCAGGAACCCAAATCAAAGCAGATCTTTGATTTTATTTTGGACTCTCTCATCATAGGGTTTTCAAAGTAAAAAAAAAAGGCTCAACGGTGCCTTATCATCAGTTCCTTCTGTACATTACTAACAAAAGTTAGTTTGACTGTCACTGGGTTGTCTGTGAAAGATCCTCCGCAAGCCTCACCGTCAACTACTGCTGCCCCCCCCCCCTTGGGACTTTCGCCTCTCCTCTCCCTACGGGAACTATCCCTTCTCTTCTGCCAGTGACGAGGGTGGATGCCTTTCCGTCTGCTGTCTCCTGATACCACCTGGGGTGGCTCTGCTGGGAATCCAGGCTCGTAATGGTGTCTGGCCTCCTGGACTGTGTTGCTCTTGGCTTCCCTGACACCCTCCAACCTCCTCACCAGGTGTAA